CTTGTACTAACCAACGTATTTCTACCTTTTCATTTTCAGCTACCTGGCCATGGTTCTATATCATGCTGGAGATATGGCTGGAGCCATAATGCAACAACACAAGGAACTTATCATAAATGAGCGCTGCTTAGGATTGGACCACCCCGACACTGCGCACAGGCATGGATTTTTCGTCTCTGCATTCATCATTATTTACATTGTTCCAAATCCATTTTCTAGCTTGCCAGTCAGCATCTTATAATTCATTGGGTTTCAAGATTAAGAGTTTTTTTGGCTAAGCTTAAAAAGCTATGCTTACATGCAAATAAGTGTAAGTTTTAAAATGGTACATAACTATTTATGGATTCTAGTTCTACAGGAGAATTTTTGCCGGGACTGGATTTTTTATGTCTCATCTGTCATTATTGTTTTCTTTATTACTTAGACTCAGTAACTTGACTGCAGTTATGGAAATATGGCTTTATTCTACCATGGTCTTAATCAAACAGAACTTGCCCTGCGGCACATGTCCCGGGCATTACTTCTGTTAAGTTTGTCATCCGGCCCAGACCACCCAGATGTTGCTGCAACTTTTATAAATGTTGCAATGATGTATCAAGATATTGGAAAGATGGATACAGCCCTTCGTTATTTGCAAGAAGCCTTGAAAAAGAACGAAAGACTGCTGGGAGAGGAACACATTCAAACTGCTGTGTGCTATCATGCTCTGGCAATTGCATTCAACTGTATGGGCGCCTTCAAGCTCTCGCACCAGGCATGTCCTTGTCTAAATGCCTTTTCGACTGAAATCATGATTGAATTTGAGATAAAACTGACCTTTTTATTGTGTTATATATCAGCATGAGAAGAAAACATATGATATTCTCGTTAAACAACTTGGAGAAGATGACTCTAGGACGCAGGATTCTCAAAACTGGATGAAAACATTTAAGACGCGCGAGATGCAGGTTTTGCTTTCTGTCCAGGATTTCTTGATAAAATCATAGTTCTTGGTTTATCTGCATTTCTTTTTGGTTATTTATCGCGTTCTTGATTTGGTAGATGAATGCACATAAGCAGAAAGGTCAAGCTTTGAATGCTGCTTCTACTCAAAAGGCCATCGATATTTTAAAGGTGATACTTGAATTCTGTTTTTTTCCTTCATCCCAAGTCCATCCCCATTTTCATTGTTTCATTACATTCCAAAATTAAGAAACAAAACAAATGAAGACAGCTAGAGATGGAAGGCATTAGCTTATGATAAGGATGCTTTTGGTTTTTATTTAAATGGCTGTCTATTCAAAGGATAGAACAATTCTAAATTTCGATATTCCCTGGTAAAAAGTAAAAAGTAATACAAAATGCATTTTCCGGAGAAGGGAAAGTAAGAGGAGTTGTTAAATGTGCTTGGTTGGGACTGTTGATATTTTTGTTTAGCAAGCATTTCTTGAAAAGAAAATATTTTTAGAGCTAGAACTCTACCAACCATGTTTTTTCTCTTTTCTTTTCATTTTTTGTACGAAGAAATAACCCCAAGAACTAATTAGCATAATTAGTTGTTTACTTGATAAAAAGAAGATACAAGTGGATTCAAATGAAATTAAACCTGGTAACTCCTGAGGATGTTCAGGTGCAGCCTCCCATGGAACACTAATTTTTGGTGGTTATAAGATGGGGGGTACCGTTGAATTTTTGTGGAAGTTGCTTGTGGGATGAATTCAAGTTCTCTTTATGGATGCAGGCTCATCCTGATCTAATACATGCTTTTCAAGCCGCTGCTGCTGCTGGAGGATCCGGTACTTCTGGTGCTGCTTTAAACAAACCGGTCCACACCAGTATTGGTAGTGAAGCACTTCCCCGAGGACGGGGTGTAGATGAAAGAGCAGCTCGAGCTGCTGCAGAGGTTCGAAAGAAAGCTGCTGCAAGGGGTCTTTTGATCCGACCACATGGTGTTCCTGTCCAAGCTTTACCACCCCTTACCCAGCTTCTTAATATCATAAACTCTGGAATGACACCTGATGGTGTGAACAACGAGGTTACTGATGGAGAGAAAAAGGAATCAAATGGACATGCTTCAAATGAACCACACGTTCCCGAAGAGGACCTATCCAAACCCGTTCAACAGGATCAGACTCCAGTTGGACTGGGCTCCGGCTTGGCTGCATTGGATGCCAAAAAGCAGAAAACAAAAGCCAAAGCCACGTCTGAAGCTTGAGATTCAGAGTTTTCTTACAACTGAAGTTCTTCCTCCATTGTTTCTCATCGGCACAAGCATAAATGTTTGCATAACCAGCTCTCATATGAGATTCGAGCCAAGTAAAAGAGCGTTCAAATGTAAGAAAAGCGATTCCCTTAATTCTATTTAAGAGATTTTTAGTAATCTTTCCGATATAGCAGTGGCCTGGCAGAGATCAATTTTTGTGAAATTGAATACTTCCTATTCCATAAAAAGTTTGGATTTCGTAATTTATATGTAGCATTCGTAGTTGAGTGACGGGTTGTTTCCTTAACAAGGAGTTCTTCAATAAAAACACCATTGTTTTCAGCAGTGCTTATTGATAATTATACTTGTCGTCAGTTCTTATTTTCTTTTAAATTGATTTGATCTTTTTACATTCTTAACTTTTCATTAATCATCACATCTTGTCCCTGGTGAGGGCCTCTATTCAAATATTCCATTAACAAGGTTAAAGACATTTCAACGTTTAATAACTGAAAAAAAACCTACAATTTCCATAATCATTTTTATCGAACATAAATGTGTGTGTGACAACAAAAGGTTAGCTCCAAAATCAATACTTCCCAAAGATGGATCATGTTTGTCCATTTTCAGAACTGTTTATAGTCGTCCAACTCAATTCGTTTTTTCAGTTTTCACTCCCAAAGTTGGTCTTGTTATATTTCAATTTTCAATTTCCAGACATGCCTCTGGAAATACAGACTATTTGTAGTCGAACACAAAGATACTATGAAGCTTCACTATTCATTGGGTTTGGGCTTAGTCTTTGCTGCTTAGGTGGAAGGTGAAGAATGCCTTTCGAGAGAACCCAAGCCATCCGCAAGATATCACCCTAGAAGAGATAAAATTATAGCATTGATCTAGTCTTTGAAAACAGCATGATTATCGATATAACTAGTGATGTGGAGGGCTCGAAAATTCTGAAATGATTTGAAGGTCAACAACAAATCCATCATTCTTATGAATAAGCCCCTATTTGTTATATAGGTTAAAATTAGATTTTTAGTGGATTTTAATAAAAATTGATAGAACGTGTGGTTGAAAAGTTGAGAATCTCATGAATTGTGTGGTTAAAATTGATTTTGATTTGAGATTAAAATCAAATTTTAATATGTAGGTCTAAAAGCCTTTTCCCCTCATAAGAGGGGGGCCCACGATTTTTTATTGGTCGTGAGCCCCCTCTCTTGTGAGGGGGTCTGTACACTAGGGTGTCAACCCGGCGTACAAATAGCATGGTCCATAAATATATATTTGGTATTGACGTTGATGATCTAAACGTAAAATCGCACTCTGTTGGTCAAATGAATCTTGGTGTACAAATAGCACGGTCCATAAATATATCTTTGATATTGACGATGATCTAAACGTAAAATCGTACTCTATTGGTCAAATTTTAATTATTAAAGAAAAAGTCGTGTTGATAAAGTCTTGGCAAATAGTTATAAGACGAACACGCGCCTGCCTTGTGGAAAAATAAACATTTGAAGCTACACCGTGTCCCCGAAATCTTGAATTCGGGTCCTCAAAATAGGTCTTTCACGTGTACTCTTTTTGTCAATAAAAGTTTGTCGGTCAATGCTAATCATAACATAAATTCTTAATGATATCAACCTAAAAATAATGAAAATAATTAGGAAAATGGAATAAAATAAGAGAAAACAAATGAAGAAGAAAAAAGGGACTTGTTTACTCTCTTTCTGTCTGCTTTGATTTATTTGCTGCTAAAAATTTGAGGGGGATGTTTGGTCGTGATTAAAAGTCACTCACTTGGGTCGTATTAGACGTTGTTGAAAAAAGCAGAGAGTTAAAAAAACGACTTTTAAACATGACCAAACAAACCGCAATCTCTATAAATTCTTTTTGGAGTGTTTGCAATCCAAGTTTCTGAGTCCTCTCTCCCATTTGAGATATGGATCTGGGATTAAGCTTAGGAGATGCATCAAAAGATTCAAAACCATTTGAATTCTTGACAAAAAATAGTAATTCAGATGATCAGAATACAGCCATAAACAACAAGGATGGCCTGGTTGTTTGCATGGCCTTAGGTCTAAACTCAACTGTTGGAAAACAAGAATCCCTCGAAAATTATGATCGAGATGATGATCAGACGTTACAGGAACGTAATGGAACTGATGATCATCGAGAAAAGTTTATGAAAACTCCTGTTCAGCTTAATCTTCTCCCTTTTGCTCCTGTTCCTCGTCACACTGGATCTCTTCTTCGAGGTAATTCATACTCTTCCGTTTTGGTGCAACCTTATATACATGAGATAATTTGGTATATTGATTCTTTTTTTTTTGAATTTGTTTTGCAGTTGCAGGGAGTTCAGATATCGGTTCGTCGAGGCACCTGAGTTTACTGCAGCCGGTGAGAGGCTTGGAGGTGAACCGGTCAAAGGTGGTGGCTGGTGGAGCAGCGGAGGAGGAGGTGTTGTCGGCAAATGACATCTTGGAGGCTGAAAGAACATCTTCCAGAGCCAGCGATGAAGATGAAAACAGTCACAACAGTAGAAAGAAACTTAGACTATCTAAAGAACAGTCTGCTTATCTTGAAGAAAACTTTAAAGAACACAGCACTCTCAATCCTGTGAGTATATGTTTAAAGAAGAGGAAAAAATAATTCGATTTTCATAATATTTTTTATATTAAATTGTCGTGAAGAAGTTTGCCATGCTTAAAAGTGACTTTTTAGCTGCTTTTCTCGTCTGTAAATTTGTGTTTTCTGAAAAATCTATGCTCTAATTTTCCATTTTCTTCCCTTTCGTTTCTTGATGGAAGAAGCAGAAACAAAAGCTTGCACTTGCAAAGCAGCTTAATCTTAGGCCTCGACAAGTTGAAGTCTGGTTTCAGAATAGAAGAGCAAGGTATGTATAAATATTATTTCCGAGTCTCAGGTTTCATCTTAAAATATTAACTTTGTTAATTATTATTTTCATATCTAAACGATACGAGATTTTAATACAGGACCAAGTTGAAGCAAACAGAGGTGGATTGTGAATATTTGAAGAGATTTTGTGACAGTTTAACAGAAGAAAACAGGAGGCTACACAAGGAGTTACAAGAATTGAGAGCTCTTAATTCTAAAAATCCGTTCTGCATGCAACTTCCAGCCACCACCCTCACCATGTGCCCCTCTTGTGAACGTGTAGCCACCACCTCCTCCGCCACTCCCACCGCCATAACCACCGCCCCCGCCATCAATCCCTCCATTGCCAAAACCAGCACCATTGAATCCACACCTAAAGTTATCCCATTTCCTTTATTTAGATCAAGATTTTACCCATTCTCTTGCTCTCCAACCCATTCCAATCAGTCTGCAGCCTCATAAATCGAAGAAAATATACAGTTTTTAATTTCTATATTCAGATTTTGTCAATAGTTGTCCAGGTTATATATAAACACTGATATAATTTGTTTTATTTCTTTAATATGTTTGCTTCTGGATCGATGAGGATTTTTTTGGTGTACAAGGGTTCTACAGTTAGGTAATCTTTTCTAGTTATGCAAAATTATTCTTCTTACCAAAATTTTCTATTAAATTTTTTACCATCATAATATAAAATTACGAAAAATCATGGCTCCGGTCCTTCTATTGTTATGCCTAAAACCTAATTTTTTACCAAAAAAACTACTCCGGTACAAGGTGACAAGTAATTATTAAAAAATCCACAATAGTCGCGTAACCATACTACAATTTATAAAATATAATCCATATTTCAATAAATTCTGATTCTTTATTTTTCGCTCTTTTTTTTTTTCTTGATTGTGTATAGACATGTAATGTGCATAACAACATATACAAGAGAATATTGCAGAGTAATTGATGGTTGTCCCATGGTTCAAGGCATGCTTTAAATAAAGTGATGTCAACTTGGTGCAATTCTTTTCAAATATTTGAATCAAACCAAATTATATTGATGAAAAAGGAGAGGCGTGGGGAAAGGGTTTATTATGGGAGAGCTGTCCAATTTTTGGACAAAGGCAACAACATTTTATTAATACATGTTGTGTCTGGTCAATTAAGGTGGTCTTTCATGAGCACCAACCATTGACTACTCATCACCCCCAAGTACAGTCATCATTATTGAATTTTAACGCTGCTAGGAACGTGGACGTGACTTACCACGACACTTCTAATATTTTTAAAGGTTGAACCCCCGCCCCACCCCGTCCCTAGAGAACTGTGGAAGAGGTAAATCGCGGGATGTGCCTCAGCAGGCCAGAGTACAAGAGCTGTCATACTGGTGCTCACAAAGAGCCTAATTTCATATCTTGTAAGAGGCAGAAATCGAATCCTCATACTGCGGTTACCAGCTCAATTGAGACTACCTCACTCCTGTGATTTGCATTACTGAGCTGTCTATACATAATGTAAAATGAATCAAGCAATCGCGTATATATTCTTAACTTTCTAATGATGCTTAAAATACAGGATTTTCCATTTGTACCAAAAATGGATGACAACGAATTTGACAACCTCTCACATGCGACGGGCCCCGCATGATTAAAAATTTCAAAAAAAAAAGTGGGACCCCCCCATTGTGAGTGTCGGTCAACCTGTATGTCACCATTTTCGGTACGAATAACACAGCTCTTAAAATACAGTTAGTTTGTATCAGCGCATATCCATATAGAATATAAAGTTAATCAACCAGTCGCGTATATACTCCTAACTTTCTAAGGTTGCTTGGCACGTGACTTTCCACGATACTAAAGATATTGCTAAATTGTGTCGGAGCACGTCCATATGACATGTTTCTATAATGATCAATACATTTATTGTCATAATTGGAAAAATATGTGGGGGTCTATTAAGTAGGGAAGTTCATATGCAATTATTGTAAATCATCTAATGAGTTGATTGCCTAAGCATCTTAGAGAAAAGCAATATTTATAGTCAATATAAATAAGTTAATGAAGCCCCTTTGTTACAAGGAGACAATCACTAAGATAATTGGTTTGAACCATAAATATCCG